TCATTTTTCATTTCTTTATGTGTCCATCTATAGAACGCTGCAGGTTATAGTCTAAATCTGTCTGTTCTGTCAGAAACCTGCCTGCAGAAAATGAACCTAAAGTATGTAATGCAAGGATGTCATCACTGTAGAGATGGAGAAAGCATAAAGTGACAATTATGAATCACTTAATATGATAAGGAGATTCTGCAGGTCATTGATCAATATATAAAACTAAAATAAAATGTATTTTTAGTGACACAAGATACATATATGGATGCAAGATGTGTAATTAGGATTATTTATAATAAATATGAATAAAACATTGCAATTTCTTTAACCATAAAGAATAACTAAATGCTTCAGGACAATGTCTCATCAATGCACTGAACTCACTATGTTATCCCTCTAACAGCCTCCACATGTTCTCACTGTAATTTCCCCTCATGAATGAATTTATGCTGCACTAATGTGAATGTTTGCAGGGAAATCAAACACATTTTACACGCAGTACTCGAGCTGACTTACCTTTGTTTGAATGACCACTTGTACGCGCTGACTCCACAGACAAGGTATGAAATATGTCAGGCTACGTCAATAGCGGTTGGTCTTCAGTAGTGATGGGCAGATGAAGCCCCATGAAGCACTGAAGCTTTTCATCCAATTGGTTCACCCCAACGCGAAGCTTCATGAAGCTTCATTTGCTCTAGCAGGACACCTACTGGACGTAAAAATAATAGCTGGCATGAATTTGAAGAGTGTGGCATTTTGCACACAGCCTGTAAATGTCAACAACAAAAGGAGTGTGTAAAACATGTATATTGTAGTGATGGCAGTATACTGTGTATATTTATAGTGGCAGTATGGGAAATGATTATTTGGAAATGCTTGAAATGGAAATGATCATTTACTGTGAGGTGAGGTGTGGTTGGGGTGTGGACAGTAGTTGTGCTTTTGTAACGTTGAGGTATGGACAGCTACACACTGAGGCGTCAGTCCTGCCTGTTCACATTTTATTCTGTAAAAACTAAATTTTCACTGCTTTTATGACCTTTTTAGTGGGGAGAACATAGCTAGGATTTAATGATTTAACAAATCTTTTGAATCCTTTGTCCTCCACAATGCTAAATGGCTGGGAGTCCTCAATCACCATGCTGACCAGGTCTTCATCTATTTGAGATTGTTCTCCTGAGGAAAGACAATAAAGATAAAGCACAAATATAAATATCACACACGTAACTTATAACAGTTGTATAATATTGTTATATCATTTAGTAACATTACTGCATCCTATATTATCATTGCATTTGATGGCTCACCTGGTCTTGCTCCACAATCGGTGTCCCCCTTATTCTCATGCAAAGCTCTGTAGTGCCTAAGCATGGATGAGGTGTTGTTGTTATATCCCAGCTCCCTGGCACATAGCAAACACTTCACCTTGTACAAAAGTACAGACAGCTTAACATAAATTGTATTGCACCATCAGTATCATGAAAATACATCTTCTGTAGAAATTTACATACCTTGTTGGGAGGAATAAGATCAAAATGTTCCCACACAGGGGAGGACATCCTCCTCTTCTTAGCTGGCTCCATTCTCTCCTGACTTTCTCTCCTCACTCTCATAAACCTCCAAACGGTCTCCAAACTCTCACTAACCGCAACTCTCCATCAAACACCCACATTTTTGAATGAAGTCTGAGGGGTTTATATCGCTGTCATATCTCGCGGCAAAGTTCGAACCACTTCATGAACCAGTCACGTGGTACAGCCGGGCAGCGAGGCTTCGGACGTCATCATTTTCAGCTCCTCCCATAAATGAAGCAAGCCTCGATACGCGCTTCGCGGAAACGCCCCCTCCATTACTCGACACACGCTCCGAAGCCTCGATACAGAACGTCCCATCACTAGTCTTCAGGGTTTCTACTCCACGGCCGTATTTCATACGGGTCCACATTTCCACTGCAGCTATTTTCTGCAAGTACCGCCGCTTCGCCTCTGGACGCAATCGGTCTCTATACAGTCCATTCTCGTTTGAGCAGCTTTTAAGCATCTTGTAATCGTCGTTCCAACACAGTGTGTTTGATTTGATTCGTAGACCCCGAAAATGCCGCCGCGCTCCCACAATGCATTGCGGCGTGACGTCAACTCCGAAGCCCTATACCGGAAGACAACAGATGACCACAACAAAAAGCATGGCCAACAGGGAAACAAACGCCGACACTGCGCGTGCAAGTCTCGGACGTGACAGTACACCTAAAGCTGGGCAGACACTGTGCGATTTTTTCAGTCACGTTATTCAGCTCCTGCTCAAACTGCACGATTGACTCACAGGGGTTAGAAGTTGGTAGGTCACGATGCAGAGTCTCACACTATACCGCCTGATGCTCTGATGAGACCTGAGTGCTCACACTGTGCCTCCATAAAATGAAGGTTATAACAGAAATTCTGTCGCTCGCTCTCTCTCTGTCTTTCACTCACACAGACACACCACCACCATCAACTTTGCTAAATTGAAAAACATTGATCAGGCAGCTGTGATTAAGCAGCGATGTAAATCAAACTATTTTCACGGTTGTTGTGGTCGTGATAATTTTGTGAGGCCACATCGAAAAGGCTCGGATGAGCTTTCCAAAGTTCTACAAGTTGTGCCTCCATCGCTTGTGTCCAGATCACACGCTGCACAGCCGTGCTGCTCCGTCTTTTTCACCAACGTTTACGTGTTTGCGCGTGAGCGGCTGTGTTGACACCCTCACGAGCGATTGATGATCGGGAGCTGGTCGTGAGGTGTTAATCGCTTCTCGTTACCCCATGTATACTACACGATGCACGATGAAGGCCAAAATCGGGCTGATCACCAAATCGGTCGCATGACTCAAAAATCGGCTCAAAATGGGCCAAAAATCGCACAGTGTAAGCCCAGCATTGAAGCAGCAATGTTTGTTCGCTCAGAGAAAGAAAAAAAGGCTGCAAAAGTATAGGGAGGAATGGGAAAAGGCCGGCGCACTTTTTCCATAGGCATGCTTCTAATGGTGGGCACAAGAAGAACATGAGGGGCGTGAAAGCTCGGGGAACCCTTAACCATTTTTTTTGTCCACCAGGCCACGACAGAAGCAGATATGGTATGTAAACACTGGTTTGTTTTTTTTAAACCCTCTGGTTAAGGTTAATATGGGCATGTGCAGTGAATACCAGCGCTATGTGGCCAGAAGTGTGATAATATAATTTATTTTGTGTAATAAACAACTGCAAGGATAGATGATTACAACAAATAGATGACTAATACATAAAAGTAATACATAGATGAATAATGATGATGAGTTATGATGCGTAATCATGGGAACAAGCGGGTTTACAAACAGGAGCAGCTGATTAGCATTAGAAAAGATGAAATAATACCTCAACTGAAGCCAATTGTACTAAATGCACTATATGTGCACTGTTACAAGAATATTTTTCGTTCTATTGCTTTCTATTAATTTATATAATTTTAAGTTAAGCAGGACAGAGTTCTTTTAAAGAAAGATTTACTTATATTCTCAAAAGTTAAGCATGACAGGCTTCTGTTTAAGAAAGAGACCTGTTTTATTGTGTTAATGTTGTCATTTTGAGCTAAAAATAAATGGCTAAATGATCATTTGTTTCCCATATGGTCATATCACAAAGAATATGCATCTGCTTAAATCAAATTCAAGTCAAATGGTAATAAATAAATAAATAAAATAAAAAATAATTTCACACACAAAAAAATAGCTACCACACTGGGAAGGGTGAAGACAACTGGGTTGCCCGGCCCTGGCCACGAGGTGTCCCTTATTTATTTTTCAGGGAGTTGGCAACCCTAGCTGTGGTCGTTGTATCTGTCATCGGTACCAACTCCACGAACTCCTCGGTGACGGTCAATGTGTCATCAACTCCGCGGATGAAAATCGCCAGTTGTGCAACATCTGTAATGTCCGTGCCTTCATCAATTGCAACTGAAAACACAATAAATGACTTTACTTTTTGCTTCAACTGGCTGTCCAAATCCGCTGAAAGATCAGAAATCCTGTCAGCAACTGTGTTTCTTGTCAGGCTGATATTTACAAAGGCCTGGCGCTTTTCAGGGCACACAATCTCCGATGCGTTCATCATACATGTTTTTACAAATTCACCGTCACTAAATGGTTTTGAAGCTAGTGCAATTTTGCTAGCAATGAGGTAGCTAGCTTTCACTGCAGCATCACTGATGTCTCGGCTGTGAGTAAACACAGACTGCTGTTTCTTCAGACCCGCCAATAGTTCATTCACCTTTTCTCTTCTCCGCTGTCCTTGAAAGTTGTCATATTTGTCGGCATGAAGACTCACATAGTGGCGACGGAGGTTATATTCTTTTCAGCACTGCAACATGCTGGGAACACACCAAACATACAGCTTTCCCATTCACTTCCGTGAGGAGGATGACCATTTATCTTGGAACACTCTGCATCCACTTTTCTCTTTTTTGACAGACATATTGGGGCAATGAGGGTGCCAAAGCAGATCAGGTTTAAATTTCGCGGGCAAAACAAAGTAGCTCACAATTGCTATTGCGCCATCCAATGGACACAATTGGAACAACAGTTTCTTTATTGAAAAATTGCTGCTCATTTTTATACTTTACAAAATCATCTCACGGGCTGGATTAAACCCGTTTGCGGGCCTGATCCGGCCTGCGGGCCGTACGTTTGACACCCCTGTATTAGATCATAGACTGAAGGGGCTGCAGGGATTTATCTTTGTCTCTTCAGGAGATGTTTTCTGAAATTCAGCCACACTACTACCATTTGTAGAAAAGCACAAACAAGACTGAGTGCTGCCAAAGCAAGCTGACTGTCAACAGACTATCTGGGTGACTCGCAGGACTTTGGAAATGTACTGCGGTTTACATCTTCAAACACTACAAAGTGTGTGTTTCACATGAGGAGGTGGTGCTGCCATAGGTCTGTAAAACACAGCTGTACAATTTCCTAACACTTGGTGATATGTGTGTGTGTTTGTCAGGGTCACATGGTGGCAAAGGGAACTTACATGGAGCTTCAGCAGTCTGGATTGGACTTCACCTCCCTTCTCAAGAAGGAGGAAGAGGAGCAACAGCAGACTCATCATGACACCCCCACCAGAACTCGAACTCTGTCTCAAAATTCAGTACTGTCCCAGACTTCCTCTGTCCAGTCCATCAAAGATGAAGACCAGTTACCGGTTAGTGCATAATTATCAGTAAAAACAGCCTAGTTTTTAAAAAATCAGGGTTGTTTATAGGAAATGGGTCGTTTCTGCCCATCCCTAGTTTAATATCATGTTTGCTTTTCTTTCTTTTCCCCCTCCCCAATGGTCTTTAACATACAGACCGTGCTGAACTGACACAACTTGAGCTTAGTTTGCTTTAGTCCGTTTTCATTTTGACAAGTTAAACACAGGGAACTTGACGGCCAGTGATCATGATACTTGTCTGCATGCTGATGACTTCCTCGCAGGCGGAGAAAGTTCAGACATTTGCAGAGGAGACTCGAGCTCAGGGAACCATTGGAATACGCATCTATGCCAAGTATCTGGCAGCTGGGGCCAACATTGTGGTTCTGCTGGCTGTCGTGCTGCTTAACATCATGGCTCAGGTACACAAAGACTCACCTGCACTTGTAATTCGCCTTCCACATGTTAGCTCAGTGAGAATAAGTGTTGAATGCATTTCACATGTGTAATATAAAGCAGTAAAAATTATTTTTTTGGCTTTTATATCTTCTAGGTAGCATACATCATGCAAGACTGGTGGCTAGCTTACTGGTAAGTATCTTCAATCTGCCGTTTTCCTCATAGACTGCAGCTTTTACATGTCTGTTTATACTCATGTCTGACTGTTTAGGGCTGATGAGCAAGAAAAACTAATGGCCAGCAGTAACATGACTAACATCACAACAAATGGACTAAATGTCACCAAAGAGCTGGACACGGATTTTTACCTCGGAATTTATGGAGGTAAAGGCGTTCTCTTATTTACACTGCGCTGCATTTCGTCTGATTTTACTCCACTGGTGTTTTATGGTGTGTTATTTTTCCAGGTTTGACTGCAGTCACCATAATCTTTGGCTTTGGCAGGAATTTGGTGCTGTTCAATGTGCTAGTGAGGTGTTCACAGTCTCTGCACAACCGCATGTTTAGCGCTATACTCCAAACACCCGTGCGCTTCTTTGACATCAATCCGATTGGTAAGCAAAACTTTGCAAATTTTTAGTGTTGTACGTTCTAAAGCCAGAGTCTGTAAATTGTAGAATTTTGTAGTTCAAAAACTTCTAAATGGAATTCTGTAGTGCTCGTGTGGGCCAACCACTCACCGGAGGGGAGATGGTCAGGGGCAGGCTGAGAAATCTGGCTTTAGGAACTTGGAATGGCACCTTTCTGTTGGGGAAGGAGCCTGAGCTAATGCTTAAGGTTGAGAAATATGTACTAGGTGTAGTCACGGTCACATGAACTCATAGCTTTTGCTCTGGTGTCTAGAGAGGGCTGGACATTGTACCAGTCCTGGGCTGCCCTCAGTGAGAGGTGACAGGCAGGTTGGGTATACAGGTATCCCCAATTTGGCAACTGTGCTTTGGGATGGATGAGTCTGGTTGTTTCCCTGTGCATTTGAGTCAAGAAACGGGTCCTGACTGTCATTTTATGCTTATGTGTAAAATCACATTTGACACATGAGCACCATACCCAACCCTCTTCAAGTCCCTGGGTAGGATGCTTGATCTGCTTAAATGATGTCCTCAATCCTGCTGATACACTTTTTGTAGTGGAAGCAGAGTCTGGAGCTAACCCATCCATCACTGTGGCTGAGGCCACTGAAGTAAAAAAACAAACAAACAAAAAAGCTGGCCAGGCCCCAGGGTTAGATGAGGTTTGGTGAGGTTCCTCTTCCTTACACATAGGGTCAGGAACTCAGTCATACCTTGGTGTGACCCCAAATAACCCAGATAAAGGGGGTAAAGATGGATGGATGAATTTTGTGGTTACTTTTACTCCATTTGCCATCTTTGTGGGGGCACAGTATACAATTCAATTCAATTTTATTTATATAGCGCCAAATCACAACAAAAGTCACCTCAAGGCACTTCATAGATACAGAGAAAAACCCAACAATCATATGACCCCCTATATACAGGCAAGGAAAGTTAAACTAAACATTAATCTTACTCTAGCTGGTTTCAAAGTGTGGTGATAATTGTCTCTTGTCTGACCTCAGGAAGAGTATTGAACAGATTTTCAAAGGACATTGGGCTGCTGGACTCCAACATGCCAGTGACGTTTGCAGATTTCGTTCAGGTGAGGGTAGATTTCTCAGCAAAGACACAGCAGCATTTTTCTTTTCTAAACCACTGACAAAGCTGCAATGAAGATCATAACAAGTGACAGTTTATGGTGGAGCTGTAGCCTCCACGCTCTTTTCGATAAACACAGCAGGTCCAGAGCAAAGGTAGGGAAGTATTTTCCTGAAGTAACAGCAGCACTCACTACTGTAATGATAATAAAACTTTCAAGCCAATAAAAGTCATTTAAAGTCCAATAAAAAAAACAAACGGTAACAAGTCTTAATAGAATCAAATCAACAGTTCAAAAACCTAAGAAGAAAAGCGATCTTACCATGTGCTCATCTGTTGCTGGGTAGTTTTCCAAAGTGAAAGCTAAATTCTATGAAGAAAATGCCATAACTAGGCAATTTAAACTTTGCTGCAGACTCACAGCAGCTGTCCCATCACTATGAAATCAATGCAGTACCTGAAATACTTCACTCAGGTTCAGGCTTTATAACTCATTAGCCCTTAGCTCTTAACTTTGAAGCTAATCATTACACTGATTACACGCTGCTGGACAAAATATTACGAATTTCTTTGTTGTCACATGTTCCTTGAGTTTGCCTCAGTCACTCAGTGCTCAGTGATGCCACTGGTGAGTAAAGCGAAAGTGTAAGCGCTGTGGCACTGCCCTTTGCTGAGGTTGGTAACATTTACCTACTGATGCCCATCTGAGATAACGCTCTTATTTGTAACAGAGGGTCAAAGATCTCTTTGAAGAATAAAATGAGTAAAACTGACAGTGCTGTTACTAAAGTGAAAGGCTGAAGTACAATGCACAAGTTAAAGAAAATACTTTCTCATTCTGTAAAACATTCATTTTTCTTTTCTAAAGACACTCAAAAAGAAAAAGGCACAAGAACAAACCACTTTAATGTTGATGTGTTTTTCTGTTGTGAGCAGATCTTCCTCCAGATACTTGGGGTCATTGCTGTTGCAGCGTCAGTGATTCCCTGGATCCTTATCCCCGTTGTCCCCCTCCTTCTCATCTTTCTTTATTTGCGTCGCTACTTTCTGCGGACCTCCAGAAATGTTAAACGGCTGGAGTCCACCAGTGAGTGTCCTACAGTACAACAGTGTGTGAAGAAGGAGATACACGTGCTGCTACTGTCGTTTCTTTTTCATTTTAAAACCTGCATATGTAATATCTTTAAAACTTGAAGCTCTTTAACCTATTGGTAACTTCTGACTCATCTGTGTCCTCAGCTCGGAGTCCAGTCTTCTCCCACTTGTCCTCATCTCTTCAGGGCCTTTGGACAATCCGAGCATTTGGGGAAGAGAAGCGCTTCCAGAAAGTCTTTGATGCCCATCAGGACCTGCACTCAGGTGCTCTTCAGGCTTGGCACATAGAAACTCATATTATGATCAGAGAACTTAAAAATTGTATGTTTTTGAACTGTCTGTGATGGATTGTTTCCCTGTGCAGAGGCCTGGTTCCTGTTCCTGACCACCTCTCGCTGGTTTGCTGTCCGCCTTGATGGCATCTGCTCCATCTTTGTTACCATCACTACTTTTGGCTGTCTGCTGCTCAGAGACAGTGAGAGAACTAATTTTACTGTTGATTTAGTCTTGCTGTTCGCGATCGCTTACCAGCAGGGGGCAGCAGTTTGCCGGTTATCCACTATATTGCCAAAAGTATAGGCTTACCCATCCAAATTGATGAACGATCAAGCCATCTGGCAAGCCGATGGTACTGAGAACGGTACTTATCTGACTGTTTCCAGGGAAAGAAACTCTTAGTGCAGCATACCAAGACATTTTGGACAATTTCATTCAGGAAGGGGCCATCAAGGCGATGGCCCCTTCCTGTTCTAAGCATGACTGTGTACAGTACACAAAGCAACGTCCATGAAGTCCATGAAGACATGTGTGAGTGAGTTTGGGATGAATTCGAGTGGAGATGACGAGCTGGGCCTTCTCATCCAACATAAGTGTCTGACCTCACAAATGCACTTCTGGAAGAATGATCAAAAATCCCAAAAACGCACTGCTAAACCTTGAGGAAGAGTTGAAGCTGCATAATTTTAAACCCTCTAAATTAAATGGATGGGATGTCACTCAAGTTCATATGCTTGTGAAGGCAGTTAAGTGAATACTTTTGGCAATACAGTGTATATGCAGTCCAGTGAATGCTGAGTGATTGCTGCCGTTTAACTTTTAAAAGTGTTAGTAAAATGGTTGTTTTCCTGCTCCTGTCAGAGCTTGATGCGGGTGCTGTTGGTTTGGCTCTGAGCTACTCTGTCACACTAATGGGCATGTTCCAGTGGGGTGTCAGACAGAGTGCAGAGGTGGAGAACATGGTAAGATACTCACTGTCTCTTTTATTTCCAGAGCTTGTATCATTTCTTTCCATACTGAGCTTTTGCTATTCCCATATAAATCTCACTAATTTCCAGAAATAGTCCAAAGATTGTATTTACCGTAAATGTCGGGCTATAAGCCGCTACTTTTTGCACAAGCTTTGAACCCTGCGGCTTTTAGTCAGGTGCGGCTTTTCTATGGATTGTCCGTGATTTTTGTCATATCGTAAGACGATTTGTTTTGTTTGTTCCGCTGTTGTACGGCACTACGTTGCCTGGCGGAAGGATCGGGGTTCAAGAGTGGTATGTTAGTCACATGTCCGTCCGCCAGGCAACGTAGTGCCGTACGAAGTAGCGCGAAAAACAAACTTCAAAGTAGCGGTACGCGTTCAGCGGGAGTCGTGGATGATGAGCAGCGATAAACTTGCAAGTTATGCCCAAAAAGCAAGTTATGCCCAACTCCACCGGTGGATTCTGACAGCGTGGAAAAGTGTGAAAACATCCACGATTACCAACGGATTTTGAAGGGCTGGACTGCTGCATGATGGAGAGGAGGACACCGCCACGGCCCTTCTGAGGGTGTTCGACTCCGACACTGACAACGAGGATTTCTTTGGTTTTGAAAGTGACAACGAAGGAGAGAAGAAGAGTGGATGACGAAGCCACCCTGAGCCTGTTTGTATCCGACACTGGAGAAGAGGACTTGGGTGGTTTTAGTGCGCAGGAAGAAGAGAAAGATGGTGGTGAATCACTGACTTTTCTTCTTGTTAAAGCTGTGTCACTGCACCTGAGCCTAAAAGGTAGTCCGAATCTATTTTTCTGGTGTGCTGTAGGCTACTGTTATGTACTACATGTGCAAATATGTACCCATAACTTGTTTTTCAAAATATTAATAAAAGTGATGTCTCCAAACAGCCATCTCTTTCCTGACAATTCCCTTTGTGCATATTCTCTTACATATGATAAGTCAACATTGAAACACCTGCGGCTTTTGGTCAGGTGCGGCTAATGTATGTACAAAACAGGATTTTCCCCTGATTTTAGCTTGTGCGGCTAATATTTAGGTGCGCTTTGTAGCCGGGAAATACGGTATTCTGTCATTTGAACATCAAAAGTCTTCTTTGCCATTTTGTTTTATATTTATGGTTGTTGGGTTTGTTGACATGGAGGTGAATCTGAGACCACTTTCCTGATGTTGTATGATTTCTGCCTGGTGTGCTACGCATCTTAAACTTGTGTTGTCAGCAGACTTAAATGATCAAAAATTTTTAGGAGTCTGAAGTAAATTATTTATTTGGGTGAAGCAGTGGTTAGAACTGTTGTCTCCCAGCAAGAAGAAGGTCCTGAGTTTAATTCCACCATCAGGCCGGGGTCTTTCTGTGAGGAGTTTGTATGTTCTCCCCATGTTTGTGTGGTTTCTCTCCGGGTACTCCAGTTTCCTCCGAAAGTCCACAGACATGAAGTTAGTTGTGAATTTAAAATGCCCGTAGGTGTGAATGTGAGTGCGAATGGTTATCTGTCGACCTGGCGACCTGTCCGGGGTGTACCCTGCCTCCCGACCTGTGGTAGCTGGGATAGGCTCCAGTCCCCCCGTGACCCTGAATTTGATAAGCAGAAGAGGACGAATGGACATTATTATTTTGCAAGAATCCAAAGGGTTAAGCTTTGGGATTCTGCTCTTTCACATGAATAGCATGAATAGACCACTAGTTGTACTGGTGTTTCTCTGGCATCTGTCCATAATAAATAATACCTGCATTCTCCTTGATACCAAGTAGACACACTAAATGATTCTATAACATCCGTCTGATTCACGTGGCAATTCTCCTTCATTGAGAAAAGCAGCTCATGGAGAAAAAGTAGCTTAGGAAAATAATCCTGCAGAAGCCCAGAAACAGTGGCAGACTGAAGCATCCTGAACTCTGAGTTATGAGTTGCAGACTTGCTGATTGGATGTGGAGGATGTGGTGGGCAGTATCTTCTTAAATTTTTGGTGTAATTCTAGATATTAATCCATTCTTTCAGATTTACCTGATTGTTTATTTCTTAAATTGAACTTGTATGCAAATAGTTTTATTACATGTTGTGTTCTTGACTACACCACACAGACTGATCCTGATTTAATGTGCATTCCTGCGTTTCTGTCCTCAGATGACATCAGTGGAAAGAGTAGTAGAGTACACTAAACTGGAGAGTGAAGCACCCTGGGAAACCCAGAAACGTCCTCCTCCTGATTGGCCAAGTAAAGGCCTGGTGACCTTTGACCAGGTCAACTTCTCCTACAGTGCTGACGGACCTCAGGTGCTGCACAACCTGAAAGCCATGTTTAGACCCCAAGAGAAGGTCAGACATCAAGGTTTATTTGTTTTGTTTCTAAGAACCTGAAGCCATTTGTGTGATACGCTGTCAAACCAAAGCTTATGTTCTGTGTCCTGTGGGTCAGGTTGGTATTGTGGGTAGAACAGGAGCCGGGAAAAGCTCTCTGGTCTCGGCTCTGTTCCGCCTGGCAGAGCCCCAGGGGAAGATCTACATCGACGGTATTGTGACCTCTGAGATCGGCCTCCATGACCTGCGCCAGAAGATGTCCATCATTCCTCAGGTACAACATCATAGCTGACCTCTTAGCAGAACACAACACTAGCATCTGGCTACTATTGTTGCCTTGTTTCGTAGCTCGTCTACTATGACTTTGTTACTTTGACATGAGAAATATTTGGCTAATAAGTGACATTAATTATTACTAGTTGGGCACATCCTTAAAGCTAAGAAAGGATCAGCAGCCCCAGTCTGCTCTGACACTCTAGAGTCACTTCTGTTTGCTCTATGAGAAAAGCACAAGTGTTGCAACAAAGTGCACAAGCACTTTGTTGCAACTGCTTTGATTTGGTGCTTATAAATAAAATTGAATTATTGCTCAATTGCTCAAACAATTATACGAGTGTAGTTTTAACACTGCATCTTTTGGGGGTTTTTTGTTGTTTGTTTGTTTGTTTTCACCAGCTTACCAGTAATGAGTTAAAATCAGCTGTCCAGCAAACATTTTCTCCTCAACGCTCTCAGCATTTCAATTCCCACAAAGCTCTTTGCTGTGATCAGTCAGAACTTTTGCAAACTGTAGGATGCATTCAAAACCAAAGGAGGGCAGCTGGTTACAGTGTGCCATGTGTGCCATTTAGGTTTTTTAAACTTTTACCTGCCACAGCAGGACACTCACTCAGATATGTCGAAATAAGTCACTGTGCTGTTCTGTTTACAAATAGTCCACAAAATCTAATCATTTTGGTGTCCTCTGGGTTCTCCAACTCTCCCCCACCCCTTTAGGACCCGGTACTGTTTACGGGTTCCATGAGAAAGAACCTGGATCCATTTAACCAACACACAGATGAAGAACTGTGGAGTGCTCTGGAAGAGGTCAGTAACTCTCACAATCGGCAGAATCAGTAGTGTGTGAGTTTTAATTCTTGTATGATGAAGCAGAATACTTGCCAAACTATTTTATTATCTTACCATAGCAACAGAAATATTGTGAAATATGTCAGGTTGGCTCATCAGAGTGTAGCGTACTCGCATCAAACTGTCCCATTCAGGATGACTGAGGGTGGAGGAGCTGCTGTCTCTATTGCATGAGGATATTCTCTTACATAGGCAATTATGTAATTATGTCCTGGAGCCAGGAGCGGACAATCAGAGATCCCAGTGTGGTGGTGAATGACCTCAAGGATTTTGACCTCAAAATCAGCCTTGAAAAGAGCTGCCAGGAACCTGCACCATGTATGGACTGTCTGGGGCTCTGTATAGATCTTATTCCTAATTGTGTCACTTTCAGAGCAGAGGATCATCAGCATCCTTCACACATTGTCTCTCCCTCTTTCAGCTGAGAAAAACTGTGCAGTTCCAACTCTCTGCATCCTTGCACTCTTTAATTTCTGTGGTGCATTTACAACCGCTTATAATGAGGGATTGTCAGCTTTGGGTCACATCTCTACATCTGCTGCTGTGTAACAATAACGCCGCACTGTCTATCACAGTTCTCCACCTGCAGAGGAACCCAGCAGCTCTTATTGCACAAATACCTCTGAGGGTGATGTTACCCAGAGTAGCCCTTATGGCCTATGATGGGAAGGCAGTGAATGGCACAAATGTGCTAAAGCTGTGCTCTTAGCATCACGGGACATCTCTGTGGGTAACATTGTAGTCAAAACGGATGACTATGCAGTAATTATATTATGTTATAGTTTATATTAATCTTTGTTAGGATATTTAGATACTAACAGGTCTTATTCATGATTTTTATATGTAAGAAGAAGAACTTCAAATTTAATGCAGAGAAGCTAATATGTGAAGAATGGAGTCTCTCTTTTATACTGATTGCAGCATTCTGGATCAACTGAAGGCTTTTAGGCTTTTACAGCAATGCAGCCTAGAATAAATAAATACACCAACTAGCTTTCCAGCTTTACTTTGAGACAGGTTGCTTCTAATTTTACAGGTACTGCACAAATTAATAGAAAGAAAAGAAAGGCAGTCCTTAATGTAGATGCTAAGGAACATACCCTGATCAAACATGAGTCCTTGTGTTATTGGAGGTTGAGTCAGTGTCAGGTTAGACACACTATTTGTTTTTGAATCATTTGTCTTGATTGATAAATAAAGCTGGGTGTCATCTGCGTATCATATCATAGCAGTGCTTCTAATAATGTCTAAGGGAAGCATGTATGATTGGTCCCAGTACAGAACCCTGTGGAACTAACTGTAAAAAGACGACAGAGCAGGAATTATTTATAGAGGACACACACAGTGTAGTTAAAGCTGCTTTATTTTTTTTATTCCTGCAGGTGCAGCTAAAGTCCGTGGTGGAAGAGCTCCCTGGAAAGTTGGAGACTGCCCTGGCTGAGTCGGGCTCCAACTTCAGTGTGGGCCAGAGGCAACTGGTGTGTCTGGCACGAGCTGTCCTGAGGAAGAACCGCATCCTCATCATTGATGAGGCCACAGCCAATGTGGACCCGAGGTACTGCAAGATGACGTTTGCCTACTGTGTATGAACAACATCTTGTTAGACAGAAGAATATCTTGTGTACTGCAGAATGATGGGAAACAGAAACTACTAAGCTGATAACACTTTGACACATCGGTGGTTGTTTGCTGATAGTAAATTTTATCTAAAGGTCTCACTAACAGAAGCGTTTATTTCTGCGGCTGCAGGACCGATGAGCTGATCCAGAAAACCATACGAGATAAATTCAGGGAATGCACTGTGCTCACCATCGCTCATCGCCTCAACACCATCGTAGACAGCGACCGTATACTGGTGAGTCCTGAATTGTTGACACCGATGCCACTTAATTAGGTAAAACCCTCTAATTAGGTAGTAGTTAAACAACTAATGCAAAGGTAAAAAGTAGAATGGCTTTTTGCTGAGAGCTGGATCCAAATAATCTGTCAATGCCAGGCCTTAGAAATGCATTAATGCTTAATGCATTCTGTATTTGACAAGATTGGTGTCCAAACATACAAACTGTAACACAAGTGTGACTGTCACCTTTGGAGCAGCTTCTGCTTTCCCTGTACGTGGATGGAGTGTCGGGCTTTCTGGGTTTAGCAGCTTTTCTTTCATAGTCTGAAACATGCCAGATTCAAGTCAAGAGGCTATTAGTTTTACTTTGAAACTCATACTTTGCTCTTACTTTTGTGCAATAATCAGAACTATTTGTTTCCAGGTTCTAGATGCGGGGAAGATCCATGCGTATGATGAGCCGTACACCCTGCTGCAGGATCCCACTAACATTTTTTATAAAATGGTGCAGCAGACGGGCAAACAGGAGGCAGCAGCTCTTCTAGAGGCAGCTAAAAAGGTCAGTTTGACTCAAGTTCTTCACACTTAACGAAAACAATCTCTTTTTGTAAACTGACATTTGTAAACTATGCGTTCCAGGCTTACGACAGCAGGAGCCGCCCCAGCCTGTCAAACGGACACGCAGTAACAGCAGACGGGAACTTGGTTATCTTTGAGACCGCTCTGTAAGCTCAGGGAGGCACTGAATTGCTGCTGCTCCTCCAGAAGATCCCTGGGCTGTAAAGCCCCTCCAGTCTCTGGTGAAAGCGCTGAGCCGCTGCTGGTGGCGTAAGACGGGGGTGGACGTGACCTGCACAGCACTGATTTGCTGGGCCTGATGTGGCCACACAGTGCAGCTGTTTCCTCAGACTGACTGCCCAGAAATCAGGGCTATGAGAACTGTTGATGTAGAGCACTACCCATTTATCTCTCACGTGTTAAATTGCTGCTCAGCATTCTGGTGCCTTGCACAAATAGCTTTTAAATGGCTACATAATCCTTAAAATCCCAAGTGCTTTAATTTACTGATGGAAGTAAATCACTTGTAGATCAAAGTGATATTATTGTTCAGGATTAGTAACGACCAAATTCTTACTCTGCAGAGATCTCTCTGTATTTTTTTCACATTTATCTCTTTAACTACATGTTTTAAAGACTTGAAAAAAAGCGTCACAAGATTTCAGTGTTAACTATTTTGTTCCTTGTGTTGTTTAAATGCTGATTGAAGCATTTCCAGGGAGGAAAGTGAAATAGCAGTGTGAGCTGTCTGCTGAATGTTTAAGTTATTTCAACTTTGTACGCTTGTTTTGTCAAATATTACATAAAAGGCCCACACATCTCACATGGTAACATTTGTCTTGGTGTATTGTGTAGTTTTTGCTTTTTGGCAAATATTGCTACTAAGATATAATACTGAAATCAAATCTTTGGTCAAGTCAAGAAGACAAGGACTGTTACAAATTACATGAACTTTATGAAAATTCGTGTACAAAAAGTATAACGGTTTGGGAATTCAAGGTCAAATTCTGAAGCTTACAGATCTTACAGAGTAGCTTGTTCACATGTGACAATGTAACCATAATTTATGATTTCAACATAACTTAAAAACAGACACAGATCAAATAAGATCACAAAGCATAAAAACATCAAACGCCCCAGTCGTTGCACACAGTTGGAGGCAGGAGGAGCTCGCGGTGCTCAGAGGTTGCTGCAAGAGTTCAGCTGATTCCAGTGTTTCACTCCACGTCACAGTTTAACTTCTGTTTGGGTGTGAGAGAGACTTGTTGGAAGTAGACGTCACCTGGTTGTAGCAGCCACAGAAAAGTCTAAATTATTTTGCTCAGGCTGCTGTCATAAGCTGGAAAGCATGGAAACTGTGTGGATGCAGATTTCAGCCATGTTTAAGGGGACTCTTTTTCACCTCACCTTCCTGCTGACTCCAGCAGAGCCGCTGCCTCAGCCTGGCCCATCTCTTGCACCATCTTGTAGAAAGCACCCTCCTTGTTTTGCAGCAGAGTGAAAGGACAGTCCAGCTCCTGGATGGTGCCACTGTCCAGCACCTTAGGCCAAGAGAAAACATACGGTGGTGTAACAGTTAACACAGGAACATTTTTTGCATATCTGTGTACTCTAACAGTATGAATTTATTAAAAAGCTACAGTCGGAATAGCTGAGTCACCAGTATACGGTCGCTGTCTATGATGGTGTTGAGGCGATGAGCGATGGTGAGCACAGTGCAGTCTCTGAACTTTTCCCGAATGGTTTTCTGGATCAGCTCATCTGTCCTGCAGTAACGACAAGAAAAACACTTTGAGAATCATGTGGGAAAAGTGTGTTGAGAAAGCTCCTGGATGTCTAGGAGCTCTCTGTACTGGTAATGTATCTGGAGAACCTTGGGTCAACGTTGGCCGTGGCTTCGTCGATGATGAGAATGCGATTCTTCCTCAGGACTGCTCTGGCCAGGCACAGCAGCTGCCTCTGGCCCACGCTGAAGTTGGAGCCTGACTCAGCCAGGACAGTCTCCAGCTTCCCAGGCAGCTCCTCCACCACAGACTTCATCTGTACCTGCAGTGAACATGGAGAGGAGAAACCTGTAGCTGGTCTGTGGGCAGTAACGACAAATCTGGGTGTGCTAATTAAATACTAGCCTCTTCCAGAGCTTTCCACAGGTCTTCATCAGTGTGCTGGTTGAAAGGGTCCAAGTTCTTCCTCACACTGTCAGTAAAGAGAACTGGGTCCTGGGGGAGCAGAGGGGAGAGAAGTCAGGGAGAAAAATCAGTAGACTCTGCTACGTCATTAATTCTATGTACCAAAGCTGGATATGGATTTGGAAACGACACGCAGTATCGTATGACTTTGAAAATCTGTGTTTTGAGTTTAATTTACTGAAAATAAATGATATAGCAGTTTCAATTAATAGAAGAATAACAGAAATGGATAGCATTATTGTAACAGTGAGATTGTAACTACGTATTTCTTCAGGCAGTTGAAGTGTCATCTGATGTTGTACCTGAGGAATGATGGACATCTTCTGGCGCAGGTCATGTAGGCCAATCTCAGAGGTCACAATACCGTCGATGTAGATCTTCCCCTGGGGCTCTGCCAGGCGAAACAGAGCCGAGACCAGAGAGCTTTTCCCCGCTCCTGTTCTACCCACAATACCAACCTGACCCACAGGACACAGAACATCAACAGCTGATCATCACTCAGACCCCAACCAGTTGTTCTCCACAAACCGATGTGTCACCTTCTCTTTGGGTTGAAACGTGGCGTTGATGTCTTTGAGGACCGGTGGTCCATCCTTGCTATAAAAGAAGTTCACTCGATCAAAGGTTATCATTCCTTGGCTCGGCCAATCAGGGGGAGGACGCTTCTGAGTTTCTAAGGGTGCTTCACTCTTTAGCTCAGTGTACTCCACCACCCTCTCCACTGATGTCATCTGAAAAGCCAAGAGGTCTTTTTCAATTATGCTTTTTGTAGCCTATGTTAACGTTCATTCATAGGCATCAGGATGTTCTTATATTTTTTAAACCCCAAAACTGAAAATTCCAACTTTCCTACAAAGGGCTTTATAATTTGTACAGCATACTTTACTGTAAGTGCAGAAGTCAAGTGTCCAAAGTTTTTGTACAAATGAGGTATGATCAAAATTTGAGAGGATTAAGGGAAATGGAAACTTTGCTCCATGTAACTGTCCATTAAGTACATTTATCTTCACCCACCAACATCATTCATTCAAAAAACTGGAAATACAAAATGTCATCACTCAGTTCTTACCATGTTCTCCACCTCTGCACTTTGTCTCACTGTCCACTGGAAGTTTCCTATCAGTGTTACAGCATAGGTCAGCACAAGGCCCACCTCTCCAGCCTCCAGGCCTAATGGATCCAAAACATGATCAGAAATCAGAGGCTAGTTCAGGACTTTCTTCTGCATAAACTCAGTGTGTGTGGTTAGGGTATTTAGCAAACTAAATGCAGGTAAATTAAACATTTAATTGTGTTTAGTTTGCTAAATACCTTAAGCCCACTAAGGGGTTGGTTGGTTTAAAAGTTGTGGAACTGTTTGGTTTTTCTTTCCTTTATTTCTTATAGTTTAAGTAAAGGTTTTAATAAACGTCCATTTATGGCAAATCTTATTAATCTACATTATATATTCTTGACCTGTTGCACAGATTCAATTCAATTCACATCAATTTGATTTATATAGCACCAAATCACAGCAACAATTGCCTCAAAGCACTTTATATTGTAAGGTAAAGACCCTACAATAATACAGAGGAAAACCCCAACGATCATGTGACCCTCCACGAGCAAATCCTTTGGCGACAGTGAGAAGGAAAAACTCTGTTTTTATAGGAAGAAACCTCCGGCAAAACCAGGTCAGGAAGAGGCAGCCATCTGCCATGACTGACTGTGGGTGCAGGGAATAAGACGGGACAAAGACACACTCTGGAACACAGCCAGAGATGAACAATAACTAATGAATAAATGCTGAGTGGTGTATACGCACATAAACAGTGAAGAAAAAGACTCATCATGGGAAGCCCCCAGCAGCCTAGAGCTATTGCAACATGACTAAGGGAAAATTCAGGGTCAACTCACCCATCCCTAAATATATGCTTTATAAAAAAGTCTTAAAAGTACAGTTTGTCTCCTGAATCAGGGCTCTAGAGTGCGACCAATTTGGTCGCAAATGCGACCAAATTTTTCAGTGGTGCGACTAAAAAAAAAAATATTTGGTTGCACCTGTGCGACCAACTGTTCGGGTAGCAAAAAAAAAAAAAATCTGCAACCTTCCCTGTGGTCAACAACAGACACACATTATGCCCCTATCGTGGACTAAACCAATCAGAGATAGTAAGGGGCGGGACCTCTCTGATTGGCCGTGGTCCAGTTGAAAGTGCAGGTGGAAGTGGGAGGTGAGTAGCTTGAATAAAGCGATATTATTCATTAAATCCTGAATCGACTTTTAAATATAACTGTGTTTTGCCAGAATTTTCTCAGATTAAAGCTCACAAAACCATTTCAACAACAACCAAACAGCAAATGAGAGCAGGTACACTGATTCCACACAAAGACGTAAACACAGAGCGGACCGACGCATCAGAATCAACTTTGTCTGTCTCGGACGGCCCGTAGACTGACACGCTGTCGGAGCTTAGCGATCCTGATGCGTCCGGTCCACGCTGTGTTTACGTCTTTTTGCGCTGATTCTGAGCTGCAGGTTTTGTCTCTCTCCAACCAAAATTCACCGAGCCAGCAGCAAAAGAAGCAGCAAACTGCGCTTCACATTTGATCAATAATATAATATTTCTGCCCGTCTGAGGCTAAGTTGAATCGAATCGGGACTTTGAAAACCGGAATCGAATGGATTATAGAAATCAGTGATGATACCCAGCCCTAGTGAGCAGCCTAGGCACGACAGAAGTGGATGTAGCTGTAATAGGAAAAGAACTATTGCTAACTTTTCTGTTAAGTTAAGGCCTGATCCTTCTGAAATTCATAGCCAGTGCTCTGACACTGTGTCATCAATCTTTGAATGCTGAAAAAGCACAGTGTATCCAGAAAAACACATTATATTATATAAATTATTATAAAATTTGTGTGCGCCTAACTTTTTAAAGTTAGGAGTACCGGTACGCCCATGGCAAAAAGTTAGTCTAAAGCCCTGTCCTGAATCCAAACTTGGAGCCGGTTCCACAAAAGAGGGGCCTGAATACTGAAGGCTTGGCCCCCCATTCTATAGGAACCACAAACAAGCTTGCAGTCTGAGAGCGAAGTGCTCTAATGGGTTGATAGGGTACTATTAGGTCTTTAAGATGAGATGGGGCCTGATTATTCCAGACCTTGTATGTTAAATTCGATTCCGGATTTAACAGGGATGCAATGAGGAAAAACCAGTGTCGGTGAAATGTGCTCTCTTTGTCTGGTCTCTGTCAGTATCTTTGCTGCAGCATTGCGGACCATCTCAAGGCTTTTTAGGACGTTTTTAGGACATCCTGATAATAAGGAATTATAGTCCAGCCTAGAAGTAAGTTTTTCAGCATCACTTAAACGGGATGTTTTTAATTTGAACCAGATTCCGCAAATGGAAGTCCAACACATTTGTTTACCATATATGCACTGAATGATATATCCTGGTCAAAAATAACTCCAAGATTCCTCACAGTGTTACTGGAGGGTTAGGGTTCGATTTTTATAGGTGAGTACAATAACCTCAGTTTTATCTGAATTTAGAAGCAGAAAAGTAGACGTTATCCAAGTCTTTATGTCTTTAAGACATTCCTGTATTTTAACAAATTGGTGTGTGTTATCTGGCTTAATAGATAAATAGAGCTGGGTGTCATCTGCATAGAAGTG